ATGGCTATAGACTCTGGGCTTTTAACAGAAAATGAAGGTATCTGCAAATAAGGACTACCTCAAAGACGATGATATCCGACAAAAATGTGGGACTCTATACGAAGAACCAAACACCGAACAAATACTACAGTTAAGGTTAGGGTTGCTCTTCATACTAGAAATCGTACATTAAAATAATTGTACATAGGTCAGTCTGTTACATTTGTATGTCCAGTATCCATGTCTTACATGTATAAGTTATATCATATTGTCATACAACAGCGACCCGACTCTGTAGTTAACTTAATTATAAATTAAATAGTATGATGAATTAGGACCATACAGACTGTAGTCCATATCGGCATTAGAATGGTATACTGAACAAAGAAAAGATACATCGTTGTATATATGAACAAAATCCCATGAGATTACCGAAATGTCAACGTTACTGTAATTCGAACTTAGAATCAATCTAGATCAAATTGGAACAAATAAAAAAGTATACACGGAGAACCTTAAAAAGTACAACAAAATAAGACACGGTGTCCCGAAAGGGTAAGCGTGTTCTACTTCACCGACAACACCCATGTTAGTCTAGGTTGAACCCGGGTAATGTAACGTCCTCATACCAAGAACCGGGACAGATTAAAACGGCATGCCACACTAATAAACATCATATACAAAACATTGACTTTCTTCTCTACAAAAAAAACCCCAACAACAATGAAATCATCTTGGCCACAATAAAACCTGCTTATCCTCTTTATAAAAACGTCATTTGAACTGAGGTAGGCAGGTTTGCAGAATGCATAAGTATGTAGTTTTTGCTGTCCATTATACAGTATCAATGTTTGTTTGATGTTTTCAGCTCGCTCCTTGTAAATTGGATGTAAAACATGCAATAAAGTTGATTTTATATTCTTCATTAGACTGCATTTTTGGAATCCCTGTATGAAGTCCTAACACTACAGTTGAAACAACCATTGGAATACTCTAGTAATGATTGGGGGCGAGTCAAATAGTTAAATTATCAAGGACCGCACTACAAGTTGATGTAGCTTATGTGATTATTTGATTATCCTAATGAACGCATTGTAAAACTATATACTTCACCCAGTAAACCTTGGATAACTCCACATGGATCAATATGCAAAGAAAACTTAGATATATAATAGATGTATATGTAGAATCTCTGCGATATAGATCAGCATGAACGGCGTTAGAAATCGAATGTCTACCCGCAGTTATCCAGTTTCCTTCGCACTGTTTATTTCAATCTGACCCGTTTGAAGAATCCGTATATGTATATGTAGGTGTCGATTTCGATTTTCTAATGTAGGTCTGCCGCGACGTCAAACCATTTAATCTAGTTGTGTTTCTTTAAGGAACAAAACATAGGGCTGTAAATCTGCGCTTAAATTTGCTCTCCAGACTAGAGAATTGGCAATATAAAGTACAATTCTAAGTTTACGTGAAATCGAGACAGCAGGCGTGACTGGTTTATGTAAGTCTTCTGTATGGTTAGTTCTGGCTATGTAGCTGGTCTGATCAAAGCCTCCAAATATCTATGTATGATAATTTCAGATGTTTTGCATCGTGATGTCTACATTTGTAGGTGTCTGGGAGTCAGCTTCGGACAAATATGCCATAGTTCGTTGCATTATATAGTGATTTATCGAACCAATTTCTTAACTGTTAAACAGACCAAATTTTTAAAAAAGAGTTTCAATATAGTTCAAAACATTTTTTTTTATCATTATTGCTATTTTACCTACGTATCTTGTTTTAGGTAAATGTATGTCGAATGCTTTTTTACGCCATCATGTATTGATACATAACAGACTACCACATATGGGTTAATGATTATGTTTTGGTTAAGGTAATTGGACCACGACGATTGTTTGTCTTCATAGTTTTATATTTACCACTCTGTAGCACTGCAACTATATAACCCTACCCAGAATACATTCATATCAGCTATGAATGCCATGGTCCACGTCATCATTATTATCACGTCATAATTGTAAACGTGGAAACATTTACCACCGAGTCATTCACAAGCATACATGATACACATACACGTATACAATGTATATTGCAACTAAATACTTTTCACTAATAATTTTATTTAAAAAAATATTCTTTTTTTTAATGTTCAATATATATACATGAAAGCATTAAAGAGCTTTCTGTTAGCATTTATACTCAACATGAATGTTGAGTTCGCATACTACCACCATGTGGAACAAATTTTTAATCTGAATCGCTAGCGCCTTCATTGAACTTATCACGCTCTAGTTGGCATTCATAATGACTATGAATGCTGGACAGAAAACAGTTTAATGTTTACAAAGGTTTTATTCCATTCAAATTTCATGTAAGATAAAACAAATCCGTTCTTATCGTGTCGAGGCAATGTGTGAATCGATATTGTACTGAACATGTACCACTGACTGGTACATCCATTACAATGCATAGAGAATGCAATACGTGTTGTGACACCATGACACAATTTGGTCAGGTGACCACTACAGTGACGTCAGCGATCAGACTAACAACACTAACATTGTTATTAGGAGAGTGAAATCACTAAATAAATTAAGGATCCCCGTCTCATTACTGTTTCTTCCTATATATACAGCAACCTCCCCTTAATTTCGTTTTTGATGTAACTGTAGTACAATTGAACCTGGACACTTCTGTTGATCGAGTATCCTGCTGATTTTTTTGTCTTGATTATTTTTCATAAAAGTTCCGCCAGATATCTTTTCAGAAATAGTTTATCAGAGTTATAACTATGCCAGATAAATAGTGGTACGGAGATCTTTACAAGGTAAACATGAAAAATGAATGTTTCGCAAATGGTATTAAAGTCGTAGAAATCGAATTACTATTTCCGACAAATCTAATAAAGCCCGACATTAAAGTTTCCCGACATTAAACCCTGTCGAACTGTATTAAGTTTACCAGCAATAGCACTGCGTGTTATAGGACCATAACGTCATTTACTAAAACATGCATTGCTTAAAAACATGTCCTCTTCCTATTGTAGCTGAATTGTCCTTTATACCAAATCAATTTCGTAAAGTTCACTGTTAGACATTCCGTGTGTTTGCCGAGATGAAATGTATTGTGTAGGACAGTATGAATGACAAATGTTTGAATGTACAAGAACTGATCACGTATTGATAAAACTACTCCCAATCACATATGTGCTCAAGCCCAATTTCTTCTATCAGTGATAAACTAATATATGTGTCCAAAAAAAATCACATTTTGCAGTGATTTTGGAGAATTTTGGAGAGACCTGTAGCCAAAATGCATTTCAATGTTTACTAACATTTTACTACCTTTTTATTTAATTCTGTCGCACGCTTTAGCGAGCTACAAGTAAGATGTATTGAGCACAGAATTCACAAGAACGAGAACAATTCATGAATAAGGGCCCAGTTTACATATTTTGCATCGTTTTTAATTACTTCCTTTTCAAATCGAATTCAGCTTGACAGCTATTTGTTGGAACTGTTGATTCGTATAGAAACAAGGAGTGAATCCGGTCCCAGCCAGCCATTGACATTGATGAATGAAGGAAATAGCATCAACACAACATCTGACATTTTACTGCCAGGTTCCAAACCTATCTTGGTCTTTTTCATGCTTCACGTCTTATATATGTATATATCTATATTCTGGAATTGTTTCGTTATTATTACAAGAATAAAACAGGGACGTACGTAAATACTTAAATAATAACCTCCTATAAATCTTCTTGGTCAACAAACTTATTAAAAACATATTTGGTTATTTTCATTCATGGCAATAAGCGTAATACACATCTGTAAAGCAGGCAGTACTTCTGGGCGCTTATTCATGAAACTGTTCTCATGCTCAAGCACGGATTTTGTGCTCAAACCAACTTTCTTGTAACTCGCTCAAATCATACCAAATGATCAAATTAGAGTCAAATGNCCCCTCTCGGAATTATTGACAAAATAAGATTATATTATTAATTTGTAACCGAAACAAGATATGAGGCTTGACCATAAAATCAGTGCTTGAGCATGAGGACTGTTTCATGAATAGGGGCCCAAAGGAAAATTCTAGGTATGTATGAATACCAACTAACTGGGGGTCTAGCTATTTGTAGGACTACTGCACCTTTGAGAACAAGACAGTCCGGTCTGGCATTATATAGTCACATTGTATCACCGAGACGACCAAATTTAATACGGGAAAGTTTTGCTTAATTATCAACACCAACTTTTTATGTTTATAGCAAAAATGTTAATACTTTTTTCATAAACAAAATATTAATAAACAATACACATGACTAGTTTACAACCTATCACAGGTTAATTACATAGATTACATGTATAATATATACAGGTCATTATGGCATCAAAGAATGGTAAAGAATATATCATATATACATTGCATAGACAACATGAACTACAGCATCATAGGCTATTTTACTCCAAAACACATGCAACAATTGAAACTTGAAAAACTAAAAACTTAAACAAAAGGCCCATGGGCCTTAACGGTCACCCGAGTATTTATTTTTGTTGTTGAATATGAAGTGGAGATAATGATGTCAATCATCCCTAACAATTTGAGAAAAAAAAGGTTAAGTATGACGTTAAGTTAAGTTTGTCAGGACCATGAGATCATTCCTAGACCGAGTTTCAGTTAAATCGGCCTATTAACTTGATTTTAATTTTGAAATAGTTTTTTAACATACTGGATTTTTAATCGGCCTGAAAAAAAGGACACTTTGTCAAGACCAAAAGTCGTTCATGCCTACCAAGTTTCAATTAAATCGGCTCAGTAAAACTTGACTTTTAGGTTTGAAATAAAAAAAAATCAAAATGGCAACCGCGGGGGCCATATTGGATTTCTGATCGACCCAAAAGATAACATGACTTACTGCTCAGGGAGATGTGAGTAACATTCCCATGAAGTATCAATGAAATCCCTTTGAAAGTATTTCAACTTAAGTTGAAAATGTAAAATGTTAACAGACGACGGACAACGGACGGTGGACGCAGACGGATAGCAATAGGTCACTTGAGCTAAAGCTCAGGTGACCTAAAAACCTGATATTAAAGAACTTTGTACAGCTTTCATAAAAATAAAATAGTGTGAAAACTCCAATATACAGGAATGTTGTAAAGATTCCAACATTCAAGAATGCTGTTACATGTAAAATTACTACAAACATGATGGTTGTTAAAAATACATGGAAGTGATGAACTTCTCAACATACAAAGATTTTGATTAACATTCATTTAATAAAACAAGTTTTACCCTCTAGCAAGAATAACACCAGTACTGGGATATACAAGAATGTTTATGACAACAAAATATCATGAATGCACACACATTGTTGGTATGACGGATTCCTTTTTATGCACATGTACAAATCTGTACACCAGCATTCAATACCACACTGACATATCAACATTTAAACAAAGGTTACGAGTCACCCTTTTAATCACACATGTACTTTTTTTGCAATGAAAGTAAGTTTTTCAAGAAACCTGACATTAAAAACTTTAGTAAGTTAAATTGTAGTAAAACGAGTTTAGATATTTTGGGTTCTCAAGCTAAATAATTAATTCTTGAACTTTTTATCTTTTATGTTTTTTTCATGTTCTTTTTCAATTTCTTACACAATTTGATCCCCGTAATAAATTGATTTTATTTATTGACAACAAAAACAGATCTATCAAATTTATAAATGAAACGTTACTGACCTACTAACTAACAGTGTAAGAGAGATAAGCCCTGAATCAGGCGGGAAGATAACTCTTCTACAAGTTCTGTGGAAGTTGATCATGAGCAATTATACATATGTTTAGGTACCCTCATTGCTGTTGAAGTTATAGACACATCTATTAAGATCAATCGTTTCTTCAGTAACAACATTTTCAATATAATCAACAATAAAATTATCAGGAAATACATTTTTCAAAAAGTTTTGGTTTTAGTTTGTGTTTTACGTCCTATTAACAGGTATGGTCATTTAAGGATGTGCCAGGTTTTGGCGGTGAAGGAAGTTCTGAAAAACCATTCACGACAAGAACCTGGCGACTGCCTCACAAAGGTCTCAAACCCACAACCCAGAGGTGTATGGCTAGCTGGTAGCAGAATGTCAGACGCCTTTAACTACTTGGCAACTGCAACCTCCTTTTTCAAAGATATTTAACCTCCTTTTTCAAAGATATTTTTTTTTTAATATTTCTTGTGGCAATTTTAACTTAAATTATTGCCATATCAGTCAAATTTGTTTTCAATGAAAACAATTCTATACCAAAGATTAGATCTCAAAACAATTAACACCTTTACATATGTAAATTGATTATTTTAAATATACATATTTATATTTGTAAATTTCAGTATCAAAACCCTTGATATCCAATCACAAAATAAAACTCTATATGTACGACACGTACATGTTACGATCAGCAAGTTACATCTTGTTATACTGTAGCAAGTTACATCTTGTTATACTGTAGCAAGAAAAATGTCAATATCCATAAAAAAGTTTACTGTTGCATATTAAATCATATTAATGTCTGAATTTAGAAAAACAATGAAATGTAGGTTAAAATAATAACATTATTACTCATTATGTTTAAATCATCAATAAGGGTGTGTTGTATGTATTACCAAGCATACAATCTATAGATTATTTACAGTTTAAAAGACAAGGCCAACTAGACAGTCATAAAATGTGGTTGATGAATAACACAAGGCCAATTTGACATAGGTATAACTAATGTCTTTTAACCAGGCACTGCTAGTGTATACCCTTAAATTAGGAAGCTTATCTGTTACTCATTTTCAATAAGAAACAAACATATTGTGTTACAAGACTCTCATTTTCTTCTAAAACAATTACAAAGTAACAATAGTTTAAGCTCATTTAAACAAACGTAGGTACAATGTATTAATTGGTAGTGGAAGTACAACTGCATACCTGTGTTACCAAGTGCATGTGTCAAAAGTTCTATATGTGTACATGTATTTGATGGCTGTTTTTTTTTAAACCTTTTTTTTTTGGTAACTTAAAAAACTTGCAGACACAAATTGTTTGCATTGATCGTATATTACAATAGCAATATGTTAAAGCTGACAGTGCAAGTTAAAAATCTTTTAATTGTGATTTTTTTTAAAAAGAAAAAAGAAAAAAAAGAAATCTGGTTTTGATTCTTCCCCATCTCTTCCGACTATCGTTTCGAAGGAAGTGTTGACATTTAAGTTTGTCTGTGCTTGGTAACGAGTATGGGTCTAGCTGGGTATAAAAAGCGCATTACCTGTCAAACTGGTTATCATTTGTTCAACATGTGCACAAGGTGACACTATGCTATATAATGAGAACACTTTCACAATGTTAAACTAACATTTTTTTATCGGATCAGTTGAATAAACCTTTTTTTTTTCAAATCGCAAATGAAATCTTTTTAACTTGCACTGCCAGCTTTAAGTAATGTGTATGCAGTATAAAGAGAGAATAACTAGAAGCCAACTGTTGTTAACTCATTTACCCCTGAAGACACGTTTGAACCCTTCCAATTCAAAGGTTCTAATAGTTCATTACAAAATTTCAGGGGTGAATGAGTTAATGGATTGATATTTTAGATTCAAGTGTCTCAGTTACATTCCAGAGTTAAAATAGCAAATACATATTTGTGTAAATGTCTAACTCAAATGTTCACATAAAGTGAATGATTCCTGGTGTTATTATTGATCTAACTGCATGTAATGTAAAAGGAAGTTTTTAATTGTCAACATGGGTTAAAAATGTTCATTTTGACAGGATATAAAACTGAACACATAAGATATGTTAAATAAGTTATTGTCAGCTGTGTCTGTCCAGTAGAGCTCCTGTAGGTGTGGGCTGCGCCTGTGATTTCTGAGGTGTTTGTTGGAGGACTTTCTTTGCATTAGCAGTGCTGCTCCGCGAAATAGCTGCCCTTTTCATACCAAATACTTCTACCAATTCCTGAAATTATGTCATCAGAATTAAGTCACAATTTGTTTTCCTCTAAACAAAACAAAGAAATAAAAAGTATGATAATATCCTTCCTGTAGATTCTTAATTTGGTAGACATTTTTGAAGAAACTACCCATACTCGCTATTCTCAGAAACACTCCTTAGTCCTATTTATTACTGCACACAGGAAATCTTTTTTCTGTGTCCAAAAGTTGCCTTTCAATGGTATCGGTCAGTTGGAACAACAGCGTAAATTGGATCAAAACCTTCAACGGTAAACTATATTCCAATTCCTCTATTAAAAAATGTGACTTTTCAAAGAATTCCCCGTAATTACAAATGGAAAAAAAAGGGTAAATTGCAGCAAACATTCCCCTGTTTACCGAACATTTCAACCATCTACAGTTTATCAAACATCTGTAAGATGGAGGCTTTACAGATCTGATAAACAAACAGGGTAGAATATCTCTGATCAATAAAATTTAATATGAAAATAGAATATCTTTCATGTTGCATAGGGGGAAAATCTTAGCTGAAACCTTTCTGGGGTGATACCTTCCAGTCTGCAGGTGTTATCGAGATGATCGTCTGGTGGTTCTTTTGTGCTATCATGGGTCTTTCACCTTCTTCCTCGTTTCTAATGGGCTCTAAATAGAAATTAAATATATTTAGTTTGCAGTTCTTGGATTTTTCTTTACATCATGTTCTGCCAACAGCAAAAATTCAGAAACAACATACAGTGAATGTAGTAAGCTCACAGATAATTGCTTCGAAACTGTACAGTTTTCAGTAGTGATTTTTTTTATTCAAACATATATGTTAAAATAGCAGGATCAACCATAGGCCTAACACACTAGCTTAAACACAAAAACTTGGTGTTGATGGAGATGCTAAAAAAGTCAATAGACCATGAAAGGTAGGTCACATCCAGCATTTGATGCATGGGTTGAGATGTACTACCTAAGATGCATCTATGGTCCAAGTTTGGTTGGTGTAGCACTTATACTTTCAGGGAAAATAACTTGAACAAAAAAGTTAATGTTGACGCCGCCGTCCCCAGAAAAGCAACACCTTAGTCTCGCTTTAGCTACTCCGTGGCAGTGAGACAAAAATAGTGTGATAAAATATTGCTGGACTTATTTGTCAACCCAAGTCTACCATGATAGATCATCACTTGACCACAGATCTCATAATGTTTATGATAGCACATCCCGAATCTGTCAATTACAAAGTGTAATACGTGACCAGAGTTTGGTCAAATTTGGCCATTGATGTGCTTCTAAGGCAATTATTAGGATAAGGGATGCATGCATAGCCTTCTTAATTGAATGAAAGAAGTCATGAAAGCTCACCCAAGAGTTTAAAGCTTTAGTTCAGAGAAGTGAGGGGAGTAACTGTTTTACTGTTAACTAATTGAGAAATACACTGACTTGCCAGAAGTGTTAACTGAACTCACTAATTAATCTTACACTACATGTAAAATCTATGTAATTTTCCATTTTTCAATGAACTTTAAAGTCAGAACGATATTTGATAGTGAAATTTAACTTAAAGTTTAACCACTGGTTTTCATGGAAGTACTTAGAAATTGATGCAGATCAAAATGAATGTATTAAATGGATAATGATAAAATCTATATGTACATGTATAGAGATAGATTGGGTAACAACATCAGAAGAATCAATTAGAGTAAAGTACTCTATAGTGTGTCAGGATACTTACAGCACATGGCTGTACATTTCTAATGTGTATAAAGAGCTAAATGATTTTCTACCAGAAGCAAAAACCTGTGTGTTGCCAGTAGTTATATGAAAATCTCTAACACTTACCAATCTGAGGTAGCTTATCATTATCAAGGGAAATCTTTGCAAAGCCTCTCTAAAAATATGAAAATAAAAAATTATGTTGCATTTCATTCCAGACCTGTTACAAATACATAATAATATAATAATGTATACAGTTTAATTAGAACCAGCTAACCATATGACTTTAACAAAGTGATAACCTCAATTGTTCATGTTTTGCTTAGAGTAGTCAGATTTTAAATTATGGTATTCCCCCAAGAATAATCCAATCACGCGCTGACAAATGTTCTGGCTTTTCCCCAATGTACACACTATGATACTGTTTGAAATTTTATATGTATTAAGTTTTCCAGATCGCATTCATTTTAACTTGTTTTAAGGTTCCAACACAACCCAACTCAACCTGTTAAGTCCACAGAGGCAGACTTCCAAACAAAATTCTAAAATGTACTTAATTATTTTGCAGATAGCGCACTGAACTTTAACTCATTCAACCCTGAAGTTTCTTAATGAACTATTTCAAACTTTAAACTGGAAGAGATCAAATGCATTTTCAGGGGTGAATGAGTTAATTGATAACAGATAACTGCATAATCAGTACCAAAATGTGAATGTTCCATCAGTCCAATTTCCACTATACTACTATCCGCATTAAATATCACAAATCAAATGTCATGTCAGTCAGTTTTCTACCATTCTCAATATTCATCACAATGTCATAAAACCTCCATATAAATGGTTCATGTCAGTTTGTAAATACATGTATTACAATAGAGATTCTACAAATCTACCTGTAAACATCTTACCGAAACTAAGAATGATGTGTGAAATATGTTCTCCACAGTGTGACCGAAGGAGTCGGGGTCAAGGACAAAGTCAAAATAACACAGGGGTTGACCTGCAACGCAAAGGAGAGACAGCAAGATGATTGTATTATGAAAACAAAACTGGAAGAATATATCATTATACTGTGGGGTTTTTTGGCAAATGTTGGTCCTTGAAAATAAACGTTTTTTGCACAATAAGGACAAGGACCAAACATAAAAAATAATTATTTAAGCTATCAGGACAATGTCAGTCAAACCCGACAAGTAATTGATTGACTCAAGTGAGACACTCAAGTAAGTAATCGACCTAATCAGGACAATGAGTAAGAAATGCAAATTGGTGATTTACTTACCGGTAATGAAGAAAATGAGCAATTATCACAAGCAAGTGATAGACTCAATTGAGACCATGAATAAGTATGACAAATCAGTGATGAAATTCATTCAGGACAATAAGAAAACATTTACTCAATCAAGACAATCAGTAAACATGATAATCAGTTGATTGACTCAATTATGACAATGAGGAAATATGACAATCAGTTGATTGACTCAATTATGACAATGAGTAAACATGACAATCAGTTGATTGACTCAATTATGACAATGAGTAAACAGGACAATCAGTTGATTGACTTAATTATGACAATGAGGAAACATGACAATAAGTTGATTGACTCAATTATGACAAGGAGTAAACATGACAATCAGTTGATTGTCTCCATTATGACAATGAGGAAACATGACAATCAGTTGATTGACTCAATTATGACAATGAGTATTTATGAAAATCAATTGACTCAAATGTTGTTAACATTGTTCTAAAGATCACAACATGTTGACAATAGAAACGATATATGTAGATTTATTGCTGAAGTCAGCAGATTAAGCCTCAAGTATTACACTCATATATTTAAAAATGTGTTTCTTGAAAACAGAAATTCCCTGAAATCAATATACAATACTTACAGCCTTCCATTTCATAAAAGTCCTGCAAATACTTGAGCACTCTGGCTATATGTTGTGACGTCCCCACATCACCTGCGTCATCAAAAGATTCCACCTAGAAGGTCAGTTAAAAAATAATGATGTCATTAGTCAACGAACAAAGCTTTCACAACTTCTAATTAGTTTAACCATGCAGAAATAAAAATCAACTGGATGTAATAAAGATACTTTTTAAAAACTTAATATTTAACTAAAAAACTTGACAGCACATGCGGGCCAGATGACATATCTTTCTACAGATTTGATTTAGATTCTTCCACAACTGTAATATGCATGCTCATGATACAATTTACATCCTAATAATGCAACCTGTCTGAAACCTGGTTATCTGAAGCTAATCATTATATATTTATGCACGCACATATACGCATATTAAATAATGTGGAACCGGAATATGTCTGTTGTTTAAATTTATTACATGTACTTTACTAAATGCGAGTACTGACTAATTCACCACTGAAATTTCATAATGAACTATTCCAACCTTTGAATTGGAAGAGTTCAAATGTGTCCTCAGGGGTGAATGAGTTAACATACTTTGTGAAATGAACATCACCGAGTCTGACACTATACAAATATTGAATCCATTGAACTTGTGATTTTCACCTTTTTCGGTACAGTGGCCTTTCCCGTCTCATTTTCTTTTTGCCTTCTGTCACATCGTATTATTGGATTCTTTTTACCTTCAAATTCCCCTCTCTGGAATGTCCCACTCCTAAATCATCAAGTTTACAAGTAAGGATTGCATAGTTTATCTCTTCAAAGAAATGCATCCTTAAAAGATGAAAAGTTTCATCAGCATTTTGTCATTTTAAGTAGTTTTCTTTTTTTAAATAAAATACATTTGTAAATATGGTGATTTGTATCTACTTTCTAAGAAACAAATTCTTTAACAGGCAACCATATTGATATACCAGACACATTTAAATTGCCTTATCCTACTTTATAAACCTTCACACCTTTCAGTTCTGCAGCAACCTTCCCAACTTTCAGTTCTGGAGCAATCTCCTATGGAGCATCCAATTGATTTATACAAATTTGTAAATATTTGTTTTCCCTTTCAAATAACCACTTGCCATTGGGTTGAAATCACACAGATGTCTTTCAAATACGTAAACTTGTATTAGGATTTACCTTTTTCACGTATATGTGAAGTTAAATGATAATGATTTGCTGAAAGTTCAAATAGTTAAAGATCTGAGTATATCAGCACTTTGGGTTACTTTTAACATACATGATGTGAAGTGGTGGGGATTTACAGAAGAGCTTCTGTGTAGACCTGCCGAGAGCAGCCCATCCGTTACCGGATATCCTAACAGATCCTGATGTCTCTCCGGGCCGCTGGCCACCAATGAATGTGACCTTTTCAAAATAAAATTAACAAGATTATAGATACGGCAAACAATACAGGTTCAGTGGATACATGGAAGTGTGTTGGCTGGACAAAATGTTAACTCCTAGTTAGTCTAAATACTTTTTTTAAATAGATGTGCAGCAGTGTTAATTATCATCTAAGCCTTATAAAACATATAATACTTTATGCATGGGCATATTACTGTATGGAAATTTTGATAGCATAGAATTAACACCTTTGTTTACAGGGTAATCTCCAAACAGTCATATTCTTAACCAATGAAAGTAGATGGATCAGCTGAATAATGGGGACAACTTTGTACATGTATATAAGGCTAAGGCCAAATAAAAATATACCTGCGTTTCCCGTTTCCCGACCGACCCTATTTTTTCTACACTGGCCCCCGTCTCTAGAATATTGAATTACAAAGATATTTTTTCAACTCAAAACAATTTTATCACTTGGATGTAGACTTGGATGTCTACATCCAAGTGATAAAATTGTTTTGAGTTAAAAAAAATCTGTAAATATAGTATAAATATAAATATACTTATTTTGTTGTTCAATAAATTTGAACTGGAGCAGTGGAAATCGAGAACAGAAAGTTTCAGTTTAATACAACAGAGAACTTAACACTGGTGACCATCAGTGGAGTTTGGATTACTAAAAACTAGTGTCCAGCTGTAGGGATAATTTAGAAATGTAACACTGGTGGTAGCACTACTGTAAATTATGGTTGTTATTCCATAAACATTTAGGTGGTTCAGATAATAATTTACTTCAATGTGTTGTTTAAGCCTGCTCAACACAAAAAAACGGTGAATGCATTTGTGGATTTATTTTACATGAATCAAAAATTATATATTTGGTGCCTTTCATTCTTTATTAAAACAATAACATATGTTTAACATTCACGGGGGTAATCAGGAGATTTTCTTCACCAGAAAAAAATATAAAACGAAAAAAAAAAAAAAAAGTTTTTCCTACCTACCTACCCAATTTTTTTGAAGCCGAAACAGGAAACAAACACATATTTTTATTTGGCCTAAATATGTTCGGTAAAACACTTGCTACATATATAGTGTTAGAATCTTATGAATGGTCACAGGATTGTCAAGGTTATTTTATATATATACCGTAGTTATAATTGTCTGTTTATATACAAACAATACAAGACTCATTGAAGATGAATATCATTTTTTATTACACTGTCCATTATATGAACATATAAGACAAATGTGTGCATTGGAAAACTATGTTGAAGCAAAATATATGTTAATAACTGGAAATGAAGATAAATTAAGAAATGTTGCTAAATTTGTATATTTAGCTTTTGAAGCAAGATCAAATTATATTATATCTGTGACATCACAAATTTAGTATTATTAAATCGGAAGTCAGTGCTATATATTAGTAAATTGTACGTTATAAGGTACTTTGCAGAAATTGTTTTTGATGTAAAAATTGTGTGAATATGGTTATTATGTACTGTGCAAATTGTAATATGGGCTAGTTGGCCTTGAAATACTTAATAAAATATCTTGAACTTGAACTTGAACTAGTTATAATTGTCTACTGATCATGACTGGCAAATATCTAACTCGGCTATAAAGTGTGTTGACTTCAAAGCAGAAACTGAACTGCATTATCCAGAAACCCTATTAGAATGTCTCTGCAGGAAAATTCTACATATTACAGGAAAAGAATTAATACAAAAATGTTCGGGTGCTTTTATTTCACATTTACATGTACATGAATACTCTTACCAGTTTCTCTGCAAACTCTTCAGGTATAAATTTGACAAAGTCTGTCTGAACAGCTTCTGCTGTCTGGCGACCATAATTTGATATGATTCGGACAGCCAATGAGTCTAGCACTCGCTCCGTTGATTTTTTTACTGTGTGATAAAAGGGAGCACAGAGTAAATACATGTAGGTGTATGGTCATGTGTGTGATAATGTGTCTACCAGCATTAGTTTATTGATTAAAGCCTAGCTATGGCACATGTAACATTTTATATCTATTTTTATAAAAGGAGTGTCACATAGTCTTATCAAATTATCAATATATAATATATAATTATGTAACTATTTTTTATGAATTGAATTGATTTATTTAGATCTAAGGGACCCCATTGGAATTAAGCCACAATATGGCGTTAAGGGTCATCCCGTGTAAGGGCCTAAATTAATCTAATCCAATCCAGTTTTAACACCTAACTAGTTTTATGGCATAAATAACTTATAAATAACATCTGTGATTAATAACATCTGTGATAATATATATATATTTATGTCCAATCCGCAAAATGTGATATACATGTATTATTTGCCTTTTACCTGAATAAATATTATTACTATCGGTAATAATTATTACTATCAAGTACTACTGTAGAGCAGAGAATGAGCCGTCTTTTCTATGTGTACTAATTGTTTAGTTCTAATTTTTGCAAGACGACTCCTAGGCCTTATGTTAGCTCCACTCAAAGGACATACCATTTTTATACAGCTCATCTGTCTCTGTGAGTGCCTCATCCAGTCTGTTTGAGCTTGGGCGTACAAAATCTTGTCTGTTTGCTAAAAATATAAAATAAATTATCAATACCATGCAATGTTACTATTCTGGACTGTAATGTTTAAAAAAATAAAGGGGATATATATATATATCACTATTTCAATTAGAAAAAGAATAAAAAAAGATCTCTAAGTACATTGTATTTCAAAATCAGTCAGGACTAGGACTGTAGGCCAATCATTAATTCCTGTAGGAACTCTATCTAAATCAAAGGTTTATATCATTATAAATCTCTGATTTAGATAGAGTTCCTACAGGAATTACCCAATCATCTGCATATTGATGGAGTCCCTGCATTTTTGGTTTATTCATTGGTTCATTGCAGGCGACATCGTTGTAAGCGTCTAGTTGCTTCTTGAGGTGCTTCTTAATACTGTCCACTTCACTTCCAGTTGCATTTAGAGGCATTTGAAGAGGACTTTATTTCTCAAAAACTAGTGAAAGTTATGTACATGTGCGGTTGGTGGTAACAAAAGTTGCATCCTGCTTTATATAAAATAAGGGTATTCAGTTATAAAATAGGACTGACAGGCCTGTATAGATCACAAGTCTCAAAAAAAATAGAGAGTTGTTTTACTATTTAGTATGGACAGTACACACCTTAATTGTGGTTAATTAGTTACGGACCTGTCAATGGGCTATACTAGGAAGTATAGATCTATATTAAAAGGTTTCATATCGGTTAAAAGATACTGGATTTAAATTAGACATTAGAGAAGCCTGTATGTGTTACCCCAGCTAGTTAGTAAAAGCTTGGTTCAAACTTGTTGGGGTGATTTATCCAGTGTTTATTTAAGCTGGTCTTAAAGGAAAACAGGGATGGGACATTTACCACTTGATCAGAGAGACCATTCCATTTGCATCCTAAAGAAAAAAGAAGACTACAACTTGCAGTTTGAAATAACTACCTCATCTTTATTTGTTATGGAGATATCTCTATCTAAAAAAAAAAACAATTGAAAGAGGAGATAAACGTTTCAGACTAGAGTAGAACTAGCTTCTAGTGTTGTCTTGCATAAATTTGTGAGTGTTGATTTAGAAAAGAAAACAAACTGATAAAAAGTAAATCTAGACGTCTTGAGCTAATCTTGCTAATGAAAATATGCAGGTAATACTAACGAAAGAACAATAAGGAAAACCCTGCACCATCATATGACAGCAAGCATATCGACTATTAGTTATTTCAAACTGCAAGTTGTAATCAACACCATGATCTGTAATCAACACTACACACACGCAGAACAAGAACACGCCTTATTCTTCTCTACAAAATAATAAACCAACAAGTAGCAATACACACTAACAATCTCATCCCGGCAGACACACGTCAAGGATACGACCGTAGTTACAGACATATATCTACACATCCAACGACACATACAGACACTCATTCTTTCCATACACCATATAATTCAATGGAATCTCCTTCCCAGGTTGGGCACAACGGCGCATATATGGGTAATAATCCTGCATTTGGGTAACGTCTTTGTATGTTATGGTTGAATGCACTTCAAATCTACTTTCACTATCCTATATAAAAAAATCAAAATAGTGTACATGCACCACGTGTACACTGTACATAATTAACGCACAATGGCACAACGACCCTACTTCCGTAATCGTCGGTATCGACGGAGGAAGTCTAACAGATGAAGAAGATGAAGACTGCGTGCACACGTGATCTCAATGTTTACAAAACAAGTCTGAGAGCGCAGCCCTGCTCGATCACTTAGGCTAACGGATCACCTACTTTTTAAATCATCAATGAGAACCCTGTATCCTTCTCGAATCCTTTTTCTTTCTTCTTTAGATTGCTGTATGTTAAACTGGCCATGCTGAAACTCATATTGGTTTGAACTATCATCTTCTCCCGTGCCTTCTATTACCACTTCATTCCCCGCCATCTTTTTAAGTTAATTGGGTTTATTAGAGTTATCTCCCGTCTACCAGTGGGTGGAGCTAGTGGATTAACCAACTAATTATATTTATACGTGATAATATATAAAATACGAAAAAAATGAAGTTTAATTACATTTATATCTATAGGCAAAATATGGATAATGAGTAAGGTTTTGTACCAAATTAAAGAGTCAAGTAAATTTAAGTTATATTGATATTATATGGTTGTTATTATATATGATATGAAATTGTAGATAAAGACATAAAATACAGCATGTGGAACGATGTTTTGATTGATAAATTTAACAAAATATGGTTGTTATTATATGGTGAAATGTTAGGCCCCTATTTTGTTTTAAGTCTTGTTTATTTTTAGTTGGGGGTGNGGGGGGGGGATGGGGACAAAATAGGCCAGTAGTCACAGAATGAAGTCAAACCAATTTAACCTTACATACATGGCACTACATGTACAGTTATCAGTCCTAGAACCATTTCTTTGCTTTTATATATACTTGATTTTGGAGAACAACTTACTTCTAATGTTTGATAACGATTCACTCTTTTGGCTAACTAATTGTGAATCACATTTAATCTAGATAAAACCATAGGTCTAGGTATTTTCAAGAATTAAGCAAACAAATTATTTACATACTTATATTGTATCAACTTACATTGTATCAAGCACAGATCGGTGGTAGTTGTTTGGACGTCGGAATCAGGGATATTAATTTGACTTTTGGTTTAATTTTGAATATCAAGCTGCGAATTCTTTTTTGAATGTTCTGGTTTTGTCCATTGTCTGACGTAGTCTTCCACAAATTCCATCAGCGTCTTAAAATTCACATTCCAATGACGTTCTAGATAATTTTGCCCATTTATAAAAAGTTATCGCACGTAGCTTTACATTAAAGGAAAAGTTTACATCGCCAGTTACAACGCTTCCAGCCTGACCATAGGTCATTACTCGGTCATTACATCCCTTTTCCCCTGAAATTGGTCAGAATGGAATATCCCAACTTGTCTGTATCCACTTGTAATATTGATATGGGAAACATACCGTATTTACCTTATGAATACAGGACACTAAACAATGATGGTTTTTGCTTGCTTTTCATTAAAATAATCACTGTCGAGGTAATTCTTTTCTGAGCATCTGAAAAACGCTTTGTCTCTAGGCCTCTATAAAACGTTCCCGTTGTATTGCTCAAAACACTATGTCGATTTCCCAATTTCACCACTTTTAAAAAAGCACGGGAAAATGACGTATTAATTAGAAAGATTCTAGCCCAATTCACAGTAGTTTACCTGTATTTTACCTGTGTTTTATCTTTGGTTACCTGTGTCATTTCAGGTTTCTTGGCTGGCATCTGTAAATGTTTAATACATGTAATTATAAGATATCATAAAATCTTCGGGTTCTTAATGAAATCTAAAAATTAAAGCCATTCTTTGATTATCTTAATTGCATCACAATGTTTTGATTGTGGCGATGTCAATAAATGTCTAATTATTAATATACCGTCGTATTATATTAATGTGTTCTTTTTATCACAGTGCATGGTGGCGATGTTGATATGAAGCTAACTAATACTTAAAACGCTAAGTAAGAAATGAAATCTGGCTGTAACGTGGTATTTACAGTCTATTGTATTCAATTCAAAAGATGTATTCCCAAATGATGGAATGCGCATGCACTGAAACCGAGACAATCGACCTTATGAGGATCGCTATCGCAGCAACACATCTCGTTCATTAGAATAAATCCCATAAAATGTGCTGTACGAATACTGTGATAAAAATGTATTGTTCATAATAACAATAACTTCAATAACGTTGAGTAGCAAACGCAATGTTGTACTTGACGTCTTACATTCCATGTAGGTAATGTATGTTGATTTCTGTTTGTTTGGGGTTTAACGTCCTCGAGGCAGTGCTCAATCTACTATAAGTTTGCATGGGTCTTTTTTCACTGTATGGTTAAATGATATGGGTCCCACCATGTTAAATTTCAGAATTTTCAGAAATGTCATGGGCTAAATCGAAATTTTATGGGTACATGAACCAGGACTCGTATGCAAAACTGGCTACTCTGTATGACAAATTTTCGCAAGAAATACGTAGAACGGAAGCAACTATTTGAAAACTTTACTTGTATATTGGGAAAGCAAAACTAAGGAATTATTTGATGGCACCATATGCTTGTTTTCCTAATTCATGACTCATCAGTGGTAATAAAGTTGAAGGGAATGAAAACTGTATGCACTAAGTGCTTCGAAACCTATGTAGAATGCACCGAAAAGGGACCGGTGCCCTATAAGACCGTTGGGAGGCATGGTAATCTAGTGGCAGGACGCGGGGCTCGTTACCGAAGGGTTGCAGGTTCGAGCCACGGCACGGCACTGTGTTGTATCTGTAAACAAGATACCCTTTTCTGCTTTTTCCAGTCTACTCAGCTGTAAATGAGTACGTGGTTGGGCAGTGCTAGAATTGTTGAATGTTAGCTGTGAGTGCCGAAATGGCAGCACCGGCTGTGATGCTCCCCAGGGAGCTGAGAAAGATATTGGCTGGTTGCAAAGGCCCTATATAACCACGGATAATAATTTGAGAACCGCTTTGAGACGACCTACGAACTAGGTTGTGATAAAGCGGTATATAAGAACCTCGAATTGTTGTTATTATTATTATTATAACGTTATAAATTTACAACTTTAATTAAGTTATAACAGGTTATTCAGCCTTAACTAGTATTGTATGCAAATCTTGACAAAGTAAATTCCATCTACACGGCTTCGACCATCATCGGCCCTGACAGTTCACCAGCAAGATCTCAAAAAATACAACAACAACAACAACAACAAAACGAAATATTAATGTAAATGTAGATTTGATTTTATATTCTTAATGTGTTTGATGCTTATCTTGACCGGGTTTTCAAATTGAAATACAAGTATAAGTGTTTAGTACATGTAGATTTATCGTGGATTGTGTGATTTAACACACGTAAATATATTGCTATATTAGACAGTTACTATGTAGTGACGATTCTATCTTTATATCATGTGAATAATAACGATACGCAAGTGTACGTGTACCTGTAATGACAGTCTGTATTAGATAATATTCAAAATAGGTAGTAATGGTTATATCACGTGTAAATATTCTGTTGAATTAAACTATGCATTTAAGTATATATTTCATTATGAAGCATTTCTATTGATCAATGATGATGTAGGCCTCACGATATAATGACGAAATATATAGCAGCCATGCACCTTTCGAATGTCGTAGAAGTGAACCGGATAGTACAGGGATGCCAGTGACGTTTTGCGGATTTCGGACAAACACAAGAACAAGACAAAGCTTCAGACGACGAGGATGACGAGTTTGTATAACATATTGTTTGCTCCACATAAGAGTACCGTGCTAAACTGTTATGCGAAGTTCTTTTTACACATCCAATACCATTTTCTATGTGACGTTTCGATGACCAGTACGATATATACACTGTCACCTTCATCAGACAATGACCAATGAAGCGTATGCACACAAAGGTGTAAAATATGTACGAGTTGTCCACAAAATCAATGTCGATTTCGGCTACGCTGGAAACGTATGTTCAATTGTTGGTTTATGTACCGAAATGACTCATTTTCATCGTAACGTCACATAGAACATTGTATTGGTTGTGTAAAAAGAACTTCTCATAGTCCATACTTACCAACATGAAATAACTGTTTATAAATGTGCTAAACTGTTCTTCTGCAAACCTCCCGTCTGCACGGACTGATAGACAGCTCGCCAGTAGATGAAAAACTACAAAATATTTGCTTGTGTAAATAACATTTGTAAACAATCGAATAGTGACTTGTTTACTATTTGATCAAACATGTAAGATGCCGTATACTTGATTTTAGTACTGTTTCTGGACTCCGAGGTTAGTTTTTATTACTTGTAGTGTATTAATGTATTTTTAAGAAGATACATAATTATATATTTCATTTCAAGTATGACACGGTATTCAAGAGTAATCGAAAAAGTTCATACAGGCTGTTACCTGATATTGTTTCATTTATACTATAAATGTATTGATCGTCTAGCTTTTATTTCCATTTTTCATCAATATAAAATGTCCAAGTTTTAGTTTTATTTCTTTACTGTGATTAAGTGCACTTTTACGAGATGAGTGTTACCTGTCGATTCTACATCGCCGTGCTTTATCTGATTTGTTGCTTGTATTTCCATATATTTAAAATCCAATGGCAATATAAGTCCATTTACCACAATAACAAATACATCTTAATAAAGGAAAATGTATGACTTATACAAAAGTGAATAATAATAATAAATCAGAAAACACATACATCTCAAATGACAATTTAATTGCTCATTTTTATAAATCTATATATTTTAGCACTTTTATGATACATGTATTCATATAAAGTGTTTTCCTTTATTGTAATTTTTTCACAAAAGTTCCAGATTTTCCACGGGGAACCACTCTAACTATGAAAAACCTATTATTATTATTATCATATATTAGTACATTAATATTGATTTACGTTTATTTCGTACGTTTCCATACACTTTTCGTAAATACTAATGACATGTATACATCATTCCAATGTGGCTTTTATAGATAAAATCTTTTGTCTCATATTTATTTTCTAGGATTATATTTTTTTTTTAAAACATCGAACCCAGTTTTCCAGAGCATTTTTTTTGAGATGAAATAGTTTGTTGCATGGTTATTTTTTAGGATTGGAATTCCGAAAGTCTTCTTTTATCATATCCAGTAATCCAGAATACATGTTTTTTGTGAGATGAATTTAACTGTTTGTTGCATAGTTATTTTCAAGGACTGGAATTCTAAAAGTCTCCTTTTTAGCGAATCCAGTTCCGGCATATTCTTTTTGTGAGAAGAAATAGTTTGTTGCATATTTATTTTCTAGGACTTGAATTCTAAAAGTCTTTTTTTATCGAATCCAGTATTGCAGATGATTGCTTTTTTCAAAGCATATATACGATACAATCACGTCCAGCATACCTTATACTTAAATTGTGCGGTCTTTACTTGTATCATCAACATACCAGACCACATTGTCTTTTACGTCGATTCTTCATTAAAACCAAAACACCCATAGAACCTCCGAATAAGCAAGATGGACGTTACTTGAAACAACCGTTGACTTTCGCCCTTGAAGAAGGCCAGGAGGCCGAATTATTGAGACTTAGAGTGCCTTTTGTATCTTTTTTTCCCTTTGGAAATCATCTGTTGTTTATTATATTCCGTCTTTGCGTATTGCAGAGTTATTTTCTCTAGGGAGCAAGTATTTATTGTTACGTCATTGGTTTGTGCGAGAAAATGACGTCGTTTTCTCAAAAATTGATGACGTTACTCTCACAAACAAGTGACGTAACAATCAATACCTGATCCCAAGAGAAGATAACTCTGCAATACGCAAAGAAACAATAGAGTACATTTTAGCATTTATAAACATTTCCTTGTAATCTTGCTAGTGGTCTATCAATTGGATATGCATGTACTTTTAACATAACATATATACAGCTGTCACAGCCGAACCAAAGCAATTAAAGCTCCGTAAGTGTTTGTAAATTGGGACAGTGAAAATCTAATATATTCTGAGATCGTATATTAACGGAAAGTGGTAATAGGGCGTCATTACAGAAATACGCGAAGCATGGATGACAATGAAAACATCCAGTTCCTGCAATTTCAGTCAGGAAACCATAATGCCGACATGGAGACTAACATAAATGCTACACCTAGCAATACAGTCAAACAGCAAGAAGACATCAATGGAATTGAAATTGGTGCTGATGTCCGAACTAATATAATGTGTTGGAACATTGAAGGTGTAATGGCCGGCACGCCATACCTTCTAAAATGCCTTGAAGAACATAATATTGATATATGTGGTCTGTCTGAACATTGGGTAAGAGAATATAACCTGTCCTTTTTTGATACTTTTTCTCATTGCGGCTACTCAAGTATAGTAAAACCTGTCCATGAGATAGACCCATTCCGCTATAAATGCAACATTAGAGGGGGTGTTTGTATTCTTTACAAATCTTGTCTAAATGTTCAAGAGATTGTTACTGATAGTCCTCGGATTGTAGGTGCTGAAATTCAAGAGTCTGATAGTAACTATATTTTTGTCTTTTCTGCATACATGCCAGCATCATCAAGGCACTTCGATGTTTTTAAGGAAACCCTAGACATATTAGAATCTCTTGTGGCCGTGTACTCGGAGAAAGGGAAGGTTATCATCATAGGTGATTTAAATGTAAAAATTAGTGGTCCACGTTATCATTTCTTACATAATGAAAGATCAGCTTTGTTCAAGATGTTTTTAAAGAGAAATAATTTACTCTCGGTAAACGTACAGACTGAATGTAAAGGTCCTAAATATACATTTTGCCCTGTCACTGGGAACTGTACAATGATTGACCATATCCTTGTCGAAAGTAGGATAGTAGATTTAGTAGAATGGTCTGAAGTCCTGGATGAATGTGAAGTTAATACTTCAGAACACCTTCCTGTTTTGTGTTCTGTGGGGACTCCTAAGATCCAATCCAAACAATGTAATGATGAATTTGTGAGGTATAACTGGCGTAAAGCTGTAAATAGTGGTCAAATACAAAGCTACAAATACATTGTTGATATTTACCTCAGTTCAGTAGCTTTTCCTCAAAATATCACGTCGACCCTAGAAATTGATACATATTATGAGGCTCTAAAATCTGTTTTGCTAAATGCATCAAAACGCTGCATTCAGAAATGTAAATTTCAGAGACATCTAAAACCATATTGGAATGATGAGTTGACAAATGTTCACCATCTGATGGTTAGTAAAAGGAAATTGTGGAAAGACAACGGCCAATGTAGAGGTAATGATGTTTATTTTTTAGACTATAAGTCATGTAAGAATGTTTTTAGAAAGAAGCTTAGAAATGCTTTTAACGAGTATATGAGACTTCAATTTGAAGAAATTGATCAATCAGGTGAAGTTGACCAAGTATTGTTCTGGCAACTATATAAAAGTAAATCACATAAACCCAAGTTGAAACAAA